AGGGGGGTTGGACTAGATGACCCACAGAGGTCCCTTCCAACCCCTACTATTCTGTGATTCTGTGGTACTGTAACTAGCTGTAACTGAAATTTAGAGGCAAGGCTGTATGTGTATTCAAACTGGAAAAACATTACTGGAAGATGAATCAAGTTGGTCAACGCAGCAGTAATTTCTCCACGTCCTGCAGGAGTTTACAAGCAGCTCTTGTCAGCCGTTTGCTTGAAACAACATTCCAGAGCCAAACCAGCAGAGTGCCGGGATCCCAACCACGGGAACGCTTTCGCTGGGAGGGGACAACACAATCCGAGAACCCACCCTGCCCCTGGGCTGCCACCTCCCTGGGGAGGCCGAGGACCCGGCCCGGAGACCTGGCAGGCCTGACAGCACGTCTCGCCTCTGGGCTTCACCAAGAAGTTCCCCGGGAGCAGGAGCGCAGCATCTGAGGCCTCACTGAAATACCTGCCAGCCTGCTGGGGCCGCCGGCCAGGCCCGTCAGAGCACCCTGGAAAAGCAGTGAAAGTATGAGTAATAAATTAGCGTCTTCCATTAGTAGAGCCATATTAATCTAGATTTTAAAAACTATAAGACAAAGTAAAAAACAAGAACAGCAAACCAAACAGCTTTGAGGGAAACCTGCCCTTTTCAAACAAGTTAGCTACTGCCTGAGTAATTAAGCGTACAGTACGATCACCCCACCCTCAGGAAACCCCTCCAGTGCCTCCAAGGTGGCGAGCGCAGGGCTGTAACAGACTAGCAGTCAGCTAAAAGGCATTTTAAAACCCCCAAGCCAGAACCCCAGTGCACAGCAGAGCATTACCTGAGTTAGATTCACAGCATTGTGAAGAGACCCTAGACTGGTGCTTTAGCCTAGGAACAGCGGCTCTGCAGACATGCTGCTGACCAGGTCATCCAGCACATCCACCTGCCGCTTCAGGCTCTGCAGGGTGCCTTCCATTTGCCGTTTTCCTCTCATCAATACCTCTGCCTGCTTGGACATGCGCAGCTCGAGCCGAACCTAAGTAAGTCAGCAGTTCCGTTTATATTCGGCTAGTGTGATTTTCAAGACGGTATTTAAAAGTCTGACGCCCTCGCAGTCAAGCCATAAGGGGCGTGATGTTACGAGTCTCAAACCACAAGCAGATGGCAGCGGGTTTGTGAATTATTTTTAAACAGTTCACCTCCTCCCAAGTCATAAATAAGCTCTATTTTGATGGCCTTTACCATGAACTGCCTGAAGAGAGCACAACAGCCAGGCGCCACAAACGGGCCACCGCCTGCACCAAACCGTGGGTGCTCCTGAACTGCCCTCTGCCACGTTGCCAGTATGCCACAGCATGGTGTCAGTGAGGGAATCGTGTTGGAATATTCAACAATCCAATTAACTGGTAATTAAAATCACTCATCTTGATACAGCGTGCAGCTGTTACGCTGTCCTCTGCTGTTCCCACCCAGAGACCCCACAGCTAGTTCAGAGCTCCCGCGAGAGGGGACCCGACGACCCGTTCGCGTGAGGGGGAAGAGGTGGGCCACCTTTAGCTGGTCTTCGTGACGCTGCAGTTTTTCTCGGAGCACCTCTCCACGCCACTGTTCATCCTTCTGGAAACAAAAGCACATTCAGCAATGGAGCGTTGCAGCTGAAGGTACCCCCCCGACGTGCCCAGCTGCAGCGCTTTCTGAAAGCATTTTACCTTTGAGAAGACTTGAGAAAAATTCAACTTTCCTTCCAGCGAGAGGAGTCCTTTGTCAGCAGCAGCAAACAGTCCCGTCTCCTTGAAGTTACCAGATCCACACTGCAGACTTCCCTCAGAAGATGCTTCCAAGCGTCCCAACGGTTCCAGAGAAGATGGGCGTGAATATTTAAACCCCATCCTAACTTCACTTTCAGCCTCCAGTTTAAGCAACGTTGCTGCGTTCTCCATTTCCTTTTGTCTCTTTTCCGGGTCTCCTTGAGTTCTGACCTACATCACAGAACAGTCTCACCGTATTGCTCTCGTGTTACAGCTGCATCAAGCCAGAGGGATCTTCCCGTCTAACTGAACAAGGCTCATTTCTGAAATAGGTACGTTTTGACTGCTGCGATCACAAACCCTCTGATCAGAGGCAGCCCTAACGCTGCCGTTGGCTTTGCCCATCAAGCCCCTCGGGTGGTGACAGAGGCAACTAGAGTTACCAGGACACAAGTTGTTAACTTAAACCTGTTCATAGTCAGACCTTGCACAGCCTTGCTTGAGTGCTTTCTAGCTGCTAACAACATTCTCCTCTGAAGGGCCCTATTTTTAAAGGACTTGGAAACAATTTATAAAGGATTTATTATAGGACTAGAAGGAGTCAGACAGCGTGGAATCACCTTTTAGAGTGAGTATGAAAAGAAGAAAGTGCCGGCCCAGGTTAGCACTAACAAGTTGTGCCTAGTGAGCAGCTTTGAATGTTAACAACATCTAGTGATTTGCACAAGTTATGGCAAGTTCCTACTACCAAGCCTTAATGTAAACAGCAGCCAGAGACCTGATTCTCAGCTGAAGCGCTGCCTAAGCTGAGCTGACAGCAAGTGTTAGGGTGAGTTTGCTGGGGATTTGGGTGCTCCCAAGATACAATTACTGAGTAGCGAGGACTGGCCCCCTCCACCCTCAGCCACCCCCAACGAACACCGTCTCTCTTTCAGGCATCGTTTCACCGGGTGAGGGGCGATCCATTGGAACCGGCCCGCACAGCGCCTGCCGTTCTCCAGCCACGGGGCGGGAAGGCAACGCGCAGCTGTGCCACGCTGCCGTGGCCTGCGGGATGTGAGGAACGAGGTGCTGCACTGGAGCTTGGCTACACGCAGAACTCCGCGCGTGACCGACTGGCTGGAGTTGCTTTGTTCATTTTTAAACCGGGATTACTGAGCTGCCTGATCCCACTGATTGTTAACAAAGAGTAACTTCTCCCAGATTTGGGAAAAATCGCACGGCATTAAGTAGGTCTACTCCTAGCTGTGATACAGCAGACAGGAGGAGATTCAAAACCAACACAGTATGAACTCGTCTGGAAGCCAGAGCTTCCGAACCTGCCTGTGTTTGGCCACTCGGTTATACCTGGCTGTGGAGGTCCATGTAGTCCTGCTGGATCTGGCCCAGGTCCTTAGCAAGGCGCTTGGCTTGTTCATGGTTTCTGTGTGCTGCTTCTTCAGCAGCTGCTGTATCACTCTGCAAACAGTTATTCTCATGCTTTTGCTCCTAGGAAAATGCAGAAAGATTGGCTTTTACTGTGAGCACCCACTGGAGAAAAATGGATCAAGAGAACCCAAAAACCACAATTTCTTCAAATTAAAAAGGCAGAAACAGCATTAAATAGGAGTAACTAGGAGGTGTTCTGCAGCACAATCGAGAAATACCAGTCTGGTTGCCTCAAGCTCTGCCTAGTCGTGAAGTTAATGCATTACTCTGTTCCTCCTACAATAACAATGGGTGTTCTATCATTTTGCTGTTTAAAAATAACCCAATTCCCCAAACATTCCCCCCTCAGCCAGCGCTTACAAGGAGTTTTCTTTCAAGCTGCATCCTCTGCACTGTCATTGCTTCTTTCAGACTCAACATCTGTTTTTCTGCTTCTTTCCTCTCCGATGCTATCTGATCTTGGAGACGGCTTAGCTCAGACTTGGAGACTTCCAGTTCTTTCTGAAGCGACTGTGTTTCTCTGTTTTTCTGGTTTAAGTGCAATTCTTTTTCTGAGAGCTGACGTTCTGTAATTAACATTGTTTAAAAATAATCCTGATTAGCAGAAATCTAAGTATTTTGGCATATTTCCTACACATCAGATATTTTTCAAACACACTAATGTGTTAAGCAATGGTTTGTAAAAACACTGACACAAGGTGAGAGGGGACAGAACCCTAGCTGGCTTTACAATTTCCGTTCTTTGAACAAGTCAATTTAAGGACTGCCAGTTAATCCAGGTGCTGCATTAGAAACCAAGTGAGATTAACAGAAATATTTGTTGGTTGCATTAGTCTTAGAACCCATAAATTGTAACAATTTATTTGTGCAAGGCATCTTACTGCTTTGTCTGACAGCTTCTTCAAGTGCTGCATATCGGGACTCCTTTTCCAGCTTCCTGAGGTTTTCTTCTGCCAGCCTTACTTTCGCTACTGCCTGCTCCTGTTTCTTCTGTTGATCTGTTAGCTCCTTTTCCAATAGTATTTTCTGATCTTTCACTTTGGCAGTACATTCTTCCAGTTTTTTTCCTTCACGCTCTGAATTTTCCTTGAGGTGATGAAGAATCTGCAAAAACCCACCACTTCAAGCTTTAACTGGTACCAACTCAGTGAGAACAAACACCATCACCAAAAGACATTACAGAAGTTAAAGCAGCCCAAGTTGGAAAGAACTGTAGTCTAATACTCCCTATGGACAAAAAACGTTCATCAATTTTTCTTGCCCCTCATTTTCAGTACAGCTCCCTCAGTTTTTCTTTTGGTTAATACTTTGTTGAAACTGCTCAGCCAACGTAAGTTAATTTTACTACAAGAATACAAGATTAAACACTAATTTTCTTTAACGGCTGATGGGCTTTGCACAGAAATACTGCAGAAGAGAAGAACAAAAGCTAGCTGCCAACAGTGATCCACTCAAAATCACAAAGAAACTTCAGGGTAAGAAAAGCCCTGGCATTTTTTCTGCGTAGTTTTAGAATTATGGACTGTAGCTGGAGTGAAGTTTTGATTAGTTTCACTTGAAATCCGTTTCAGGTACTCTACATAGTTTGCTGGTCTCCCAAGAGAAATCAACAGCACGGGAAGAAGTTCTCTGAACTATGCCCAGCAGCTGTATCTTGGCGGCTGACAAATCAGAGTGACAGAGAATAATCCGCGCTGGCCCATCCCCTGGCCCGGCTGGGCTCCAGCAGCAGCCAGGCCACAGCACCGCACAGTGCCTCCCTCCACGCCAGCCCTTCCCGCCCTCGGGGGTCACTGCTGGTTTCACTCCAGTGCTGTTACCAGTTCAGTGCAAGGTGACCCTGCCACGAAGGAAGACACACTAGTTTTGTTGTGACACGCTAGTTTTCACTAAAACATAACTGACTGTTGAAGCTTTGTGTTGACTGCTATTCCTCTAAAAATGAGGGTTCCTGGTTCTTAAAGCACTAGTAGATTATTTGTAAACTTGCACCCAAAACGTTTTGGCCTGCGTTACTTTTCAGGGTCAGGCAAAAGTGAGGAGGCAAGTCAGCAGGCTCATTACCGCTTCTTGTTTGGCTACTTCTGTTTCTCTCTCTTCAATCTCTTTCTCGAGCTGCTGCAATTGGTTCTCTCTCTTTTTCTGTCTCTCTTGACAATCCTCATGTTTCTTTAAATACTCTAGGATATCTTCTCTCAGGGCTGCCTGCTCTCTAAGCAACTCATCCTGATGCCTTTTATGATTTTCCAAATCCTGCAATATAAAACATAAAATCAAGTGACATAACTAGCTGGTAAGAGAAACAGGTCTCTGGACGAAAGGCCTGGATTTGAAAGAACAGAACTGATCACCCCTAACCACAGCAAAGATTACCTTCTGTTGAAACCAGCCACTGGCTGCATTAACACAACAGGAACCACAAGACAAAAAGCTGGAAGATGCTGTTTTTTAAAAAAAAAAAAAAATAGAAGAAAACCCAACCCACTATCTTCTTCATAGAAAACAATAAATCAGGGTGATTTTGCCTCTGTGTCTGGATTGTTTTCTAGAGAGAAGAGAAATTCAATCCGAAACAAATCCACAAAGAAAACCCGAACCCCCCACCAAACCAAACAACCCCAAACCAAACCAAGCCACATACTCCAACGTTTTAGTAGCAGTCTGACCAGGAGAGTCATCAGCCATCACAGTTGCCACTTGAACAGCAAACCCAAACCAGAAATCTCATTCGGTTAGGTACAGACGTAGCACAGCCCAAATCCTCCAAACCCAGCAAGGGACAAGGCAGTAAACTAGGCATTGCTTATTAGCTCTGCAAGTGCCCGATTTTGAGCCAGCGTGCCCCGATGAAAAGCAGGTGATGGGCCGGCAGTTGTTGCGAGAAGTGACTCCCCTCGTTTCGGTGCAGCAGTCTACTCACTCCAGGACAGTAAATACATATTTCACCAAAACTAACCTGTTCTACCAGCTGAAGTTGTTGCCTGGAGTCATTTAGTTCTCCTTTCAGTGTTTCTAGTTCTTCCTTTTTTTCTAGAAAAATATTTGGCAACAGAGATTTTCAATCAGCAATCTGAAATACCTATACAAATCAATTATCTCTTCTCATAAATGAAGACTAAATAATAGAAAAACAGGTTCTACAATTTCCATCTTTTCTACATGGTAAATACTTTCTGCCTGTAGGTATCTGAGCATGTTGGATATTTAATACCATACAGTACAGTTACAGCGTGTCTTTTAACACAATCTCCTTAAAATGTATTACAGTTTAAAACCAAAAATTGATCTTTACCTTGAAGATCCTTCTGCACAACGATAATGTCTCCATCCAGTGATTTTTTCTGTTTGTTCAGTAGATCTACCTCCTGCTGCAGGTTTGTAACATCCAATTCCATTTTTTCCACATTGGACAATGCAGTTCTGCTGCTGTCTTCAGCAGCAGTTAAGTCTCTGTAAAATGTGAATACGTATTCTCGGTTTGTTGGAGGTACTTGGTGAGGACTCTAAAGAACAGCTGCACTTCAGCAAGTTTTCTCAGCTCAAGGGGATGCTAGCTAGTAGTCATGAGAGCAAGACAGCTGTCCTGTTCCAAGACTGAGCATTTTGCTTTTCTTAACATTTCTCATCGCACTGCCGTGATATAACAAATGCTGTTGCATTCATCAGCTTCATTGCTGAGTATTTTCTGTAAGTCTGCTGTAGACATGCTTAAACTAAAGCCTCCACGGGATGTAAGAAACAGCACATTCTGTGTAATTGGGCACCTCAAAAGTATAGCTCTGTTGTTAATTATGACAGACAGACATTCAAGACACGTCCCATCACTTGTGATCTTTACAGAAAAAAATATTCCCCCCCACCTTCTGGTTTGTGACAACTTCTTTTCCAAACTCTGACAGTCGTCTTCAAGCTTTTCCTTTTCTTTATTCAAAGACTCAATATTGTTTTGCAGAGTGCGCATTTGAGAAACCAGATGTTCATTTTCTTGACGGCCTTTCTGAAGTAGTTGTTCCTGCCAATCTACTTCCCGTTGCTGACACTGGAATAATCTCTCAGTATTCTCCAATTTTAACTTCTCCTACAAAAGAAGACATGGTGAACAACAAATATGTACAGTCAAGGAGCAGAACAAGCTATTAAAATCTTTAGCTGCAGCAGTTTAAACAGTTTTCCTTTGGAGAGCTCATATGCAGGCTAGAGTACCCTCGATAGCTACTGCATTGTAACAGGGATAACTGCTTCAAGTGCCAGACTAATTTGAGTGTATTTTATGATGAAGGTTTTGAAGAATACAAGCACGAGGACTGGAAGACAGGGGTGCAATTCTTTGTTACATCAGAGTTCAGCCACCATTTTCCCCCCATCCATGCGAGCAGCACATCCCTTCACGGCAGGGATTTTGAGAGAATGACCACCCTAAGGGCTGCGAGGTGCTCAGGTACTGCAGCAAGGTGACCACTTTCTATTACCACGTTTAAAGGTACCAAGCATATTGACTAGTCCCTTCTTTTCCCTGTCCTTCGCAGAAGCAGTACAGAGCAAAGAGGGAGAGTCTTTTTAAAAGTAAGTAGCCGGTAATGACTGCTTATATATGATAATAAACACTCTCTTAGCAAACGCATGTTAAATTTTCTAGAATTGCACAACTGAGTAAACAAAGGCTATCCCATACTCCGACCTAATAATGCTGTAGCTACTATGAGACTGCTGCTGGTCTCCTGCCTACTGGTAGTGAAATTGAACGTCTGTCTGTATTCATCAAAACCACAAGAGACTAGCTGAGCTAGAATACCTTTTTAAATGGTAGAGAAGATCATCCAGCTGAGTTAGTAAACTGTTTTCCATACTTACTCTTTGCAAGTGAGGACACAGACAGAATCCAGATAAAAAGACTCTGGAAGCTAATGCTAAGGAAACAGTGTTCGTCATTCTACAGCCACAGAAGAGCGTTCTGTCTTTTTGCCCGCTCTCCCTCATATGCACCAAAAAACCCCGTTATTTTAAAGGCCCTACGCCGACTTAAGACTTCTCTATGATAAGCTGAAATCAGACTAGAAACCAATTGATTTAAGACTGTAGAGACCCTGTTACCCAGATTTTAACAGAAGCACAGAATATGCAGATCTCTTCTTCCAGTTACTGTATTAGCTGTAGAAAAAAATACTTACTTCTAGAACTGCAACCTGAGTCTTTTCTAGCTCATTGACCTTTCGGTCATGTTGTACTTTCAGACCTTGAAGATCCTTATTTTCAAGCTCCAGCATTTCCAGTGCATGTTTCAGTTCTGGTAAGATAAAGAAATAAGAGGTTATTACAAGCACATCAAGTGCATTCTATTTGCAAAAAAAAGGCACCAAGGAAAAATTAAGAGTTACTATATTGGTATCATCCCTGTAAAAACTCCTCACGTTTTCTATTGCTGTGTCAGACACCCCAGGTGTTGTACCTGATGCCGTCTGACCAGCAAGCTGCAGGTCCCTAGGTCTCCTGCTCTTCCTGCTCCCTAGGGAGTTACTGCGGGACAGAGTATCTGACTGACAAACCATGAAAGGAAGTATTTCAGAAAAAGTACAGAAGTTGCAGACTGCTGCTGCTATACTTTCCACAAGCTGCCACAACATAACTGCTTGGAAGGAGATTCTTCCATTTCCCCACATACCCCAGTGTGTAATTCTTCTTCTGTGAAAGCAGCACCATTAGCTAATGTCTCCTAACCACACAGTGCTCGAGTGTGAGCTTAACTGACCAGTCCCGACAGAAGGTTTGTTCACTTTTCCCTCTGGCACAAAAAACTGCCACCTCAAATACAAAGCAGCACGAAGCACTGTCTCAACTTAAGCAAAGGGTATCTGTCAGCTCTGTAGGAACTACCAGAATTACAGGGAACTCTTCCTCTGCAGTCGTTCACAGTATTTCAAAAGGACTGAGGAACAGAAGACTGCAGCGATGTACAACCAAGAGCCAGAGTGTGTTTCTTTCCAACCTGCACAAAATACGATCTGGTAAAGCCAGGGACAAACCTATCTTGTGCTTGGTAATTTGCCCAAGTATTTCGTGGAGATTTTCTTCCCCTTTTCCAATATCCTTCTTTATGAAGGAAAGCTGTGCTCTTTTCTCATTAATCTGGACATCCAGTTCTTTCCTCTCAGCATTAAGCTCTTCCAGAAGTAGTTTTATTTCCTGTGGAAATACATCAGTGTCACAAGGAATGCCACTATTTGCCATTTTAAAAAAAGTTCTCCTTTAAATAGAAGTTCTAAATATTTCTAAAATTTCAAAACTCTGTCACCAATATTCTGGTCAATTTAATTCCAGAGTTTACAGTTACAGTTAATGGTGTAAACAAACAAAAATTATGTCATATTTAAAGCCGTGTTTACAATTTGAAGTAGTAATCTTGCCAATATTTTGATCTACAAGTCTCACCAGAACACTCACTCAAGTGAACAACAGGTAGGCCTTAAAACAGAAGTCAGACAAAAAGCCCCCAGAAAAAATAAAACCTTGATACGTTGTTTTTATCTCAGAAAGAAAGGAAGGAAGTACAGAATCCTTCCTAAGTGAATGGGGATGGAGACAGACAGCTGACTCACGCCAGCTTTCTCGTGTTTTACCCACACTGAGCAGACCGATTTGCTCTAGCAGCTGCTTGTCTCAGCAACAGTAAGTCGTTCAGAGTCTTCTATTTAATATAATTTCATTCTCAAGGGACCAATTCTCTAAGTATTATTGAACTAAGCAGTTCTACTCATTATTTGTGCATCTGGAACAAGCTCTCAGTCACACAAAACTGTAAACTCGCTTGTTCTGTTTTTCAGTGGGTTGTAGGTGGTTGTAGAAAGCAAAACTGATTTTGTGGACACTTTATGGGATGTTTTTGATACTTCTGTTCTTTTGCTGTTCTTCGTAGCTATAATTAATTGAAAACTCATTCGGAAAAGTTACTCTGATTTGGCGTAGTTTTTCATTTGCTTCAGTCTCTCCATCTCGAAGAGCTTCTTCAAATTCACCCTTCTTTTGAGAAATAGAGTCTTGAAGGACACGGAGATCTTCCTTCCTTTGATTTAACTGTTGCTCCAGAAACAGGAACTCTTGTTGCTGAGCAATCATCTACAATGTAGAAGTTTAACAGAAGAAGCATCTAAGGGTTTTATTTTTGTAGCTACACACATGTACACGAACAAGCACAGTACACTGTTCCCTGCCAGAGATTTATCTGAACTGCGTAACACACAAGGATCCCATCAGAGCAATGAGCTTCACTTGCTAAACCTGCATATAGCCAATACTAAAGACTAAGTTCTGATCTGGACAGTGCAGTCCCGCACCTCAGAGAGTTCAGTCTGTTATTCTGAAATGCAGTAAGAATTGCCACAGAGAACTCTGCAGTAATACTTATTATGCAGAAACGCCAGCAGGATTGGGATCATACTTATTAGGAGACAAACCAAGGAGAATTCAAGTCACCAATATTAAAATAAACTGAAGAACCTAATTCTTCAGACAAGGCAGTTCAGAACTTAAGACTCTTCTCAGCTTTCAGTTATCTCAAAACCAACAAAACTGATAACGCAGAGTTAATAGCTCTTACCTGATCTTTTAATCTTTCCAGTTCAGCTTTCTTGCCTTGAAGAAGGTTTTCTGCTTCTCTAAGGATCTGGAGGTGATGTTCTTTATTACCTTCTGCAACTTTAATATCTCCTTGAAGCTTCTGAAGACTGACAGTGAGGATTAAAAACATGACTCAGAAGAAACACAAATGCCTTAGCCAGTAACTTTGAGGAAGACATCTTTATCTAATATGGTTTATGGTAAATTAAGAAGACTTACCTTTCAGTTAGCACTTCTACCTTCTGGTTTAACGACTGGAACTCAGAGTCCCTTGCAGCCACCATTTTGTTGATTTCCTCCAAAACACCTTCTTGTTCCCTCTTACACTGTTCCAAGTCCCTTGTATCTGTCTGTAATAACCTAAAGAGGCACGTATGCCTTTTCATATTAACATTTTAACAGCTCTCCCTCTCCAAAAGCACTATTTCTGTATTTGAAAGAACCTTGTTCTTCTCTTGATCCCCATTTGATACAAATTTGATACAAATTAAGTGTACCTTAATTGCCGTTCTGCTTTCACAAGTTCAACGGCCATTTCCCGAGCCCTTCGCTCTAGCTCCTTTGCCTCGGTTTCAGTACGGGACAAACGCTGTTTGGCACGATTGTACTTTTGAACAGTGTCTTTAGTCTAGAGCAAAAATTGAAGATTATTGAGACAATACATTCCCAGCTTATGCTTTCCACATAGATAATCTGCAGGTTAATTGTCTAAAGATGACCTCCTGGCTTGAATATTCCACCTAAGCCTTCTCTCTCTGTGTACTATGAAATAGAACCTTTTCTCCTCTCTTGTCCAGAGCAGAAAAGCTTCCTCCTCTCTGGCAAGGACTGAAACATTTTCTTTTAGCACAGGTTATACCACAACTTATTTTTGAACAGAATTATTTTAAGAGGCTTCAGGTTATCCAAGTGAAAATAAACTGCTTAGACAAACAAAAATCCTCTGCTTAAAACAATCTTAACCCAACACACAACTTCTTCTGCACTTAAGAGTTATGGCTTTACTTACTTTCCCCCGTGTGCTCTCAAGTTCCACTTCAGCTTCTGAAAGTAGCCTATCTGCCTCTCTAAGCTCTGCTCGTCGCTTCAGCAGAGTCTTCTCTAGACATTCAATTTTATCTGCAATATCTTCATGATGTTTAAGAGACTTTTCTAACTGCAGTTCTGCAATAAGGTTGCCAGTATACCCTTCAGTAAAGTCCCTAAAAGGTCAGAAGACACGGAATTAAAATACAAAATGCCAGAGGCCCAGAGCCTCTTGAAGTTCTAGTCCATTTACATTGATTGTAAACAAGTCAAAAGTGACTTTTATTGGAAAAAAGGTTCAGTATTTCCACATGCTTACTTTAAATGCATTCTAGTGCAGTATTCTTACTTGCGTTTGTTATGTTTCTCAGCTGCTCTTCGTAGCTCTGCTATTTTGTGTTCCAACTCTTCTCTTTCATGCAGGAGTTCTTCAAAGTTTTGATGCAATTTTTCCACCTCTTTTTTGCATTTCTGCTCAGCTGCCTCTGACTCTTTATCTTTGTATTTCTGAGACTTTAAATAATACACAGTGTCTTCTAGCCTTGAGACTTCACTCTCCTACATACAGGAAATAGAACAACAAAATCAAGACCTATTTTCCATTTCAGTCCTCTTGAGACACGGGAGCAGCTACAGATAGCAAAGACCACACTATTAGCACTAAGACAGAGCGTTCTTATTGGCAAACTCTCTCAGATCCAGAACCTTACTAGCATAGACTTTCCCCCGCGCCCCCACAAAACACCAGCCTAATCTAATCTGTGACAATGAGGTTTTGGGTGGTTTTTTGTTTCAGAAAGGGTAGGTTCAAAGATGCTCCTAATCCATTCACAAGTCAGTTGCCTCTGGTTAAACCTGCAGCTTACAGCTCTGTGTCTTACCAAATCATGATGTTCAGGCACATTGCAGTGAAGCACTCCAACAGGAACGAGCGGGACCGTGAAGTTTGGAGGAAGAGGGCCATAAACAACCTGGGCTCCCACCGGAGGTGGGCCATAGATAACAGATCCAGGAGCAATCGGAACTCCGCTTGCTGCAGGAGGAGGAGGGCCATAAAGCACAGTTCCCTGAGGTACAGGGGCACCATCTGGAAGGACTGTGTAAATAACTGTACCAGGTGGTGGTACAAAGGGAGGGTCTTTGGGAACACGAGTTTCTTTGTTTTCTTCACTATCTTCTTTCACTCTTCTATCTTTAAAAAAAAAAAAAAAAAAAAAGTTATTTTTAATCACTTTTTCAGTAAAAGATATTCTTCAAATGCACATTTTGAATTCTAGATCATGTACAAAAACGTAACAAATGCTGCCTAAACTGAATAATGAGTTCAACAGTAATAAACATTTGTAGTTCACTCAGGCACATAAAAATTCACTATGAACTCTAAGCCAGTCCATCTTTTGGATGCTCCTAAGCATTCTGAGACCACGAGACTGACTTACCTTTACCAGAATTAGTTCTGTACAACCTATTTCCGATTGGTGAATAAACGCAGCATCCTCCTTGACTGCACAAATCTTCCTTCCTGCACTGCCTGTCCTGGCCACACCCTCTTCTGAGTGGGGATGTGCCAGAACACAGTAAAGAAACTCCAGAATTTTTTGTGCTGCGGGAAGCAGGAGTGGAAACCTAAAAAAAAAAAACGGTATGCGTTAATCTAGAAATAACAAGTCATGTAAAATACTGTATTTGTTGTAGACAAATAAAAGCACTGATTTTTCAAGAACAGGCTACACATACTCTGCTTTCTTGCACTTCAAAGCATGACGCTGCTTTAAAGAGAACACTAAATATATTTTAACAGAATTTCTCTTAAATGCAGACAAACGCTGTTTTACAACAAATGCTTGTCTGTAATGTCCCCTTTTAAATCTGGACCTAAATTAATTTCCAGTACGACATTTTGAATAGCTGTCTACAGATTTTACTTACACTGGATTCCTGTTACTACACAGTGATAAGCTCTATCAGGGAATATTTGTGTATGTTGTTTCAGTATTTCTCTTATATGTCAGCCAGTAATTTTTTTTAAGGTCCTCCCAGACTTAGCAAGTTTATAATGGACTTTCCCATATCAAATTGCTTTACACATAATAGGATTTTTATTTTTCTGACCTGCGATGATGGCATGTAATACCAGTATCCCCTTCTTTTCAACGGATCTGCTAAACTGGTGATGTAATCATTCTGGTATGAAAGTACATTTTCGAGTGCTGCAGTTTCTTCCTGTAAGTTGTCCATTTCATCTTGGTTACCTGTAAAGTAATCACAGTTTTACAGGCATACAGGGCAAATAATTAAGTCATAAATACTGCATTCAGCTTTAATTAAAGTAACAGTTTAAAGCTTTTCCCTCATTGTTATCCTGTTAATCTGAAACCATATTTAAAACATGAACTGCCAAGAGAAACAAAATACATGTGATTATGTAGTGATGTAGATAGACGCTGGCCCTTGCAAGTTGTCATTTTAAGACTGCAGAAATACAAGTTCATATACAGGTAACTGATGCTTGGTTTTCCTTACATATAGGTCTCTGACAGTGTTCTAGAGCAGTATAAACTGAATGCATAACACAATTAGTGTTTTCTGAATAGCTGTAAAAAGTGCTGGTAGTACCAGCTAATGAAAACTAACACACTGTCAGTCTGATTTTCAGCCTCAGGCAGAACTTCACTACGTTTCCAAAAGTCACATGGCACGTCAGCTGGCAAAGCTAGAAACCCCAAAGAGCTCGTGCCGCTGCTGGCCCTTAACCAGCCATTTTCTCCATTCTTCGTATTTGGAGAAGGAACGACCCACGCACTCCACGTAACTGCATTCTGTCTCACTGTTTGCTTCATCTACAAGGATACAGAGAATCCACTGAAGCACAGGGATTTAAGGACTGAGTGTATCCTGTATAGGAACTGTACCCGAAGGCATCCTGAACAGTTTCTTCTCCCAGAATAAACTTCCAGAGCTCTGAACAGCTTCTTAGATCAAACAGCGAGAAATACGGAAGAGAAAGTGAAGTCTTCTGCATCCATGCTTATCCGCAAGAAATGAAGAGAAAAGAGAGATTACCTGTCCCAATGCTATCCAACAACCATCTTAATCGGTCAATTTCTGCTTTTTGTTGTTCTATTACTTCATTTAGTTTATCAATTTCAAACTTCCGAGAGCTTGACGCACCAGCGTTCTCCCCAGCTTTCTCCATTTCATGCTGAAACTATTGAAAACATAAGTTTAAATCAAAGCAAAGCACTTCAGTTTAAATTCGACTGTGCTAAAACTTTTTCAAACATGCCTATCCATCCCTACTAAAATGCTAATTCAGCAAAGCGCCTGTACCACTTTGATGCAACAAAACTGTTCCTCTCATCCCCTCACATGACCGAGGCTGACAGACATAGCCACACTAAGGCATTTTAGCGAACAAGTGATAGTTTTCCTTAAAAGTCAGCTACTTTTGTCAGCGAGGTTTTCATTTTGTTCTTTGGCAGACGTCAGTGGAGGAAAGAGCATTCCGAGTATGGAAAACCTGAGCAAAAAGAGCAGGGCAGACACTTCTGCATAACGCATTTTCAGAAAGTCACTGAACTGAACACATCTAAGGATTTTATCCTCCTCACATAATACAGAGCAAACAGATCTGCGACCTACTTGTTCTTCCTTCTCTTTGAGGAGCTGTTGTAACAACTCTATTTCTGCTTCTGCTCTGGCAAGATCCTGAGCTGCACGAGCTGCCTCAGCGCAAAACTCTTCGGCTTCCTCAGTCTCCTAAAATTGAAATTTTAGTTTGAGCTTTAGTTTGCAAAATACTTCACAAGCTTGCAGATGTCTCATGCAGCTTTGTGAAAAGCTAACTAATAAGAAGTATCAGCACTTGTCTGTTCTGGAATTCCAGGAACTGGCAAAGTTTATGTAAACTAATGTTTCTCCTTTAATTTTACAGTATTTCTACAGAGGACATCTTAGTATACAGCCAGAAATGGTTTCTAGTTTTAAAAATTTGAAGCCTAAGACCAAGCTTCCATAGTCGCTTCTTTTGCTTTTCTGCCTTACATAACAATGTATTATCTATTGTTTGACTTTCAGTTAATGAGAGATTAAACTTGCCTCTCCCTCACCTTCTAACACACAGCAAGAATGCCTGTCCATACCCAAATGTACTAAGGCACTCATCTACTGTATTTCAATGTGAGACAATGTCTGAAGCAAGAGCTCCTTGTACAGCGGGACAATTCAGAATAAAGCTTTGAAACTGAATTCGAAAGACAACACCACGACTGCTCTTATTATGATGGCATTGGAAAGCACTAATATACAAGCAATTCATTATCAATGTTGATTTATCTCAGCTCGCTCTTGATTACTTCTGAGAACAGTCCCATGAAGAGCCTTTAGCTCATTTTTAGCAGTGGAGAGCTCTGTGGCTGCCAGTCTATCCGAAGTGATGCTTGCTCTCTTTAATTCCTTCAGCTCTTTTTCTAGACTGACAAACTGCATTTGTGCCATGGCATCTTCTGTTTTTTTCCGAAACCAGGAAAACAATAGGTTTTATAAGTTTGAAGTAAAAAGCAGCAAGGAAGAAAGGCTTTCTGTTGGTGTGACTTCTTCCCCACACGTGGCCCATTTTGTATTGTATGCATAGAAGTAACAGGGGAAAAAAACCTACAGCAAGGATGACCAATTACATTTAAGGAAAATAAAAATGTTATATTTAACCTCTGCGTTCCTTCCTGTATTTGATCTATCTTAGAAAGCCAAAAAAATCAGACGTTTTTACATCTTTTCGTGAGCAAACACAGTGCGAGGACTTGTCCTCACTCATTCCTACCCTTTTCTCTAAATCTTCCAGTTGAGCAAGAATAGTCTTTTTCTCTTCATTTGCCTCTTGGAGCTGTTGATCAGCAAGGCCCTGAATTTCTTCCATGCTCTTTATTTTTTCATGTAAATGTTGAATTTCATTCTCTAACTGATCGACCTTGTTCTTATTCTGCCTGTTTTCAGCTTTAACCTATAAGTGAAATAAGTTACAATGAGCAGCCAGAAATAGATAATTTTTCAACCAAAAGCCACCCTATTTTAGTGATTTATACAAATAACTCTTTAGGAAATGCAGTTACCAGCATACTTTGTATCAGAAGAGTTTTCCCTCTTCAGAAGCTTTTACCTACTTATACAGTTGCTTTATAATGAAAATTACTACATGACATACACTTGCGCACAACAGGAAAATCAAAACTCTAATACTGGTTAGTATTCCTCATCGCGAGTAACAGCATCCTGCTCTAATGCAAGTTGTCAAATGTGTTTCTGACAAGCAAATGAATTCAATTTGTCTACTTTCAGTAAGATTATACTTCTCTGGAAATGGAGGGTAGGAGAGCCACATCCTAGTGAAACTTGATCTTCCAGCTGCAAGTTACAGTGTTTTAGACTAAGCTGAAATTGTCTTACTCTTGCTTTTGTTGTTTTGATACATGCCTGTCTATAATTCTCCTCTACTTCTTCCAGTTTTTCCTGCTGGGATACCATTTCTTCCTGCAATTGTCTCTGTCTAGCCCACGCTTCCTCTTTTTCTCTCTTAGCATCAGCAAGGATGTCATTAAATTCTTTCTGCAGATTTGCAAGGCTTTTCCCTAAAACATCAGCTGAATTCTGACATCTGAAAGAGAAACAATCCAGGTTCCAAGACAGAAAAACAGTGATTTTTTAATTGTGATACCAGATACTGAAATAATGAAGCCTAATACAATAATTCAAGTTTAAGACATCCAACATAAATGAATTCAGGTGCAGCACTGAACACGTTACACTGCACAGACCGACCTTCGCCCTGACTTTACCTATACCATTCTGTCGTTATTACCACTCCTCTGCTGGGGACAAAGAGCGGGAAAGAGTTTGTCCTGTCCCTTGCAGTGAATCCCTCAGTAATATAATCACTGAGCTCAGGCGAGGGTCCCTCTTAACAACCACAGGGTGCTGAACTTCATGTCTGAACTGCCCCAAGTTGCGCTCAGTAGGATGCAGCACATATATCTTGTTGCTCTCACGTGCTTACCAATCACACATGCACAAATCTAACACTGCTTGTGCTTTTATTTTACTCACTTAATCTCTCCAGCTCCTGTCTGAAGGTTTTGCTTGAGTTCATTTACACGAACTAAGACTTCCTCAGGATGAATTAAGTTATCAACCACTCTCTTTAGCTGATTCTGATGACCTTCAAGCTGTCGTTTCAGGAGATTATTGTCTCCCTAAAAAACCCAAACCAAACAGATAAAAAAACCACCTGCACAACCATAAGCAAACAAATGCACAAATGACAGAAGCTAGAATTTTAATACTGAGATATGTTTTGGGGCTTTTGTTGTTGGTTTTTTGGGGGCATTGGGCATTTTTTGTTTCTTAAATAAAGAGTCCAAACATTTTTTTCAGTGTGGCCTGAACCAGTATCAACAACAAACCAAGAACACCCCAATCAATCTTTGCCTTTCAGTTTCCTTTATGTTGAAAAGCGTATTTTAAAGCTAGATCAAAAGTGATCCTATCCTTTCCTTCAACTAAGTACTGTCTTTACATAAGCAAAGCCCACTAGCCTACAGAAGCCTGTCACTCTATCTGTCCGTAACAGAGGACAGAACACTTGCAGACACTGTCCCAGCCACCAGACCATGGAGTCACACTTGTCCTGGCCCCAACGGTCCTGAACTCTTCTCTGCACATTGGCAAGCTGCAGCAAAAATGATAGTGCTAATGTCTGGTGAGGATCATTTATAAACTCCTCCTGAAGTGGTCAGGCAAATGGACTAGATGTTTGTTGTAGGTCCCTTCCAAATGAACTACTCTATTCTATTCTGGTGGTCATTGTATCCTCTGAGGAGTAAGTGAGATAGGAAAAACGGATCTGATGGATACAAAGACGGACTGAACCCAGCCTTCTCACAATGACCACTATTATCCAAGCAGCTCTGAAAATATTTCAAAGGTCAATCTAAATATCTAAAATAGTCAGATAACAGACCATGGTGTAATGCTTCTGGACAAGAAAACAAAAGTCAGTCAAAGTCATAAATACAACTTAACTTCAAAACAAGATACATACAGAATCCTTTAAAATTCTTATCACTTTCCGTTGGGGGAGTAGGGAACGATACTGC